AAGACGATTACTGCAAGAGAGTCAATGGTATTATTTTATTTTAAAGCTTAACAGTCGTTATTAATTTTTTTTTTTTTGCAATTAATTTGTGATAAACATTATATGAATTTCTATTGATTTGGATACAGGCTGAACAAGCTGCTAATGAAGCTCGTGAGATTTACGAATCTTTGAATACTCAGCTAGTTAATGAATTACCTAGATTAATAGATCTTCGAGTACCATATTTTAACCCTACATTTGAAGCATTGGTGAAAATACAACTCAGATTTTGTCAAGAAAGTTATGAAGGATTGAATAGTTTGCAAGAACAATTTTCTGATAACGATCAAGTTGACAATAAGGTTGAAGCCGTTTTACAAAAAATGAGAGATCTGGCTATTTGTGGAATGGGATAATATTTTTTTTAAGTAGGTGAATTATTAATGTAAAGCAGTCTTTTTTTCTAAGGATTTGTTTTTGTATAATTATTATTTTTTTCCTCCTAATTAGCCATTAAGAATCTATTCTTATTATTTACGTTTCTTTGACTTTATTGTAAGGTCTAAAATGTTAATATTTATATCTAAAAATATTTTATATACTTGAAAATTAATATATACTTTTAATTTCTTGAACGATTATGTCTTAGTATTTTGGTTCCATATCTTATAGTGTAATGTTTATATATTGATCACTAGGATTTTTAGATACAATTTTCTCAAAAATTCTTAAAGTTCTGTGCGGTTAACTACTCGATCTATATGAATAAAAAGGTCATATATATGATTATTTGGTAATCCAGTGATTAGAAACGATTGCTTTTTTTTTCATCCTTCGATTCATCTTGGTGAGACAAATTGGATGGTATAAGACTTTATTTAATAGACCTTGTGTTAACTTCGATATTATGCGATCTACTTTACCCACCACCACCTTTACCCTTATTAAAGCCAAATTTTATTAAAGAAATCAAGATTAGCATATTAAGCTATTCAGAAGATCAATATATATATATATTCTAAACGTTTGATATGAATTAACTTTTTATTAATATATTTATTAATATATTTTTATTTTTTAAGTCTTACAAAATATTGAAAACCAGTTTTTAAAATTCGATTCTGGCCAAACCAGTTTTAACATAAGTTTGGAACTTATTATATAAAAACCTGATTCATAGGTTTTTGATTTAGAACCTAAAGGTTTTAGAACATAAACAAAACCTAACTTTATCATCCCTAGATAGGTTTAATCTAAACAAAAAAAAAAAAATATACATGATTAGTCATTATTATACGATTAACTTAGTAACAATTCTAAATATATACCTTGAAATGTAGTCCGATCAGCGAAAAGACCAAGCATTTAAGATCTTGTACTAAATAATAAAATACACGTAAACCCTCAGGGTCATCACTCTCTTGTACGTCAACAAGTGACCCAATTTTTGCTGTCTAAAAATATTTCGAATTTATTTTTGCAAAGTATCGTTTGCTTAGTACGTGAATTTCAAAACGAACTTTGAAAAAAAAGACTAGATTTAAACTTTTACCTCGAATGAAATGTGTTCATTGCCCAACCGAATTTCAAGTTCCTGTCGTCCAACAACATTCTTTTTTGGCCATCGTTGATCGTCTTCTCTGTAAGAGATCAGTTTGTGTTAACCGATGTAAAATATAAACGTTTACTGATATTTGAATACTTACTTCATGACTTCACTTTCCTGAATGACTCGTTTCAATTCTTTCATCATTAAAGGACTAACATACACTGATCAATATTCCGAAAAAAAAAAGAAGGTTAATATCTCCGAATATTAAACTAAATTATGAATGTGGCAAACTTTAATAATTTATATCTTATTATCAAGACGTGTATTTGCTTACTTTCTTTTCTTATTAGACTATCATTCCGATAGTTTGAATTGTTAGCATAACGACACCTTCCATCGGCACGGAACTCAAATTCAAGAAATTCGTGGCCGTAACGGCCCATATGACCGGTGCTTAGTATCAAATAAAAAAGTAAAAGGTATTAAAAAGATATGTTTTATAAAATCGGGTAACATTATAATTAATAAACGCGTACTAATAGCGAACATAAAACTCGTCTTCGTTGACCATATTTTTAAGAAATTGTGAATGTTATAGGTAGGGTAGGTAGAGTATGTATTTATGTAACTCAATATCACGTGACAAAAGAATTTTAAATTTCCGTTCGACCAACTCAAGCACGTACGTACATACGTACATACATATCAAAGTTTCTTAATTTAGCGTTAGGACCATGAATTCTAGAGAATATTTTGAAAAGATTAAACATTATTCGACGAATGAAGAAGGATCAGAAGTGGCTGATCTATTAACAATAAGGGCAACAACTTTTATTCAACAATTAGCTTTACTTTTTCAACATGTAAGCTTGCTATCATGAACTTGTTGGTCATTACTGTTTTAGATGTCTAAATGTTTTAACTTATGTAGAAAACAAGAATAGAAGACGATGTAAAGAGGTATTTGTCAGCACCGTGGGACGATATTGTTATACAATATATAAAGTGTATTATAGCTATGCAGAACAGAAAGTATGCGGAGGCCTTCGAGGAGCATCATAGCTTGGTCCAGTATCCTTATAGTTTTGATTCATCTAAATTTTCCTTTTGTTTTTTCTTTTTTTTTTTTTTGAAAACACAAAGTTCCCTTGACGATCCATTTAAAATAAAGGATCTTTCAGAGAGCGTTTTCACAGCAGCTGGCGCGTTGGTCTTTGCCGATATTATATACTATAAATTATGATTTACGAATGCTTGCAATTAAGGTGATAACGATTTTATATTAATTTATATAATTTATTTTTTCCATTCCTAACACTTTTTCTATTTCATAATAAAGTCGGACCTGATTTTTATGATGGCGGAAAAACCACCAAAGAATTTGGAAATAGCAGCTCGCGCAATTAATAAATCATTTTCATTGTGCATAACAGACAGGTAAAAATTTTATAATTCAATAATAGTGTTCCATACATGTATTAAAATTTTTTATTGATCAATTCTAGGGCTGCATTAAACGTCTCTCGTAAATGGGGGACATATTATTTTGCGGGGCTCTTGTTTAAAACATATTTCAAAGTTCGTATTTTTTAATATTTCAAGGTTACATTGATACATGACGACTCATATTTGTATGAATTTTTTACTTTTAGTTGAAACAGCAAAATCTGTGTAAAAATGTTATTAAATCAATTAGGGCTTCAACAGATTTGCCTCCTTTTGTACAATTTCCCAGAGCACATCAGGTGACTTTTCTGTATTATCAAGGATTACTTGCTTTTCTTGAAGCCGAATATCCTCAGGTATTTAAATTTGGCTCACTAGTTTTGTAATTTCATTTTCTCAGTGTGACTTTATTGACATTGTATATATTTTCCCATTAGGCTGAAGAAAGATTCGTAACCGCATTTCGAATGTGTCCTAGATCTAGTCAGAAAAATAAGGAGTAATTTCAATTGTTTTTATAAAATTTGCTTGGAGAACTATCATTAGTAACAATACTCAAATTTTTTTGTAAATGTTAATCTATAGGTTGATACTTCGTTATCTTATCCCTGTTTGGCTAACTCGAGGTGTTTTACCATCGCCGGATGTACTTTCTCGGTATCCTAACTTAGAAACTTTGTACAAACCATTCATTGATGCCATTAGAGATGGTAATGTTAAAAAGTTTGATGACGCACTTGCAAAGTTTGAATTAAAATTAGTTGCTCAAAACACGTTCCTGACTGTTGAGCTGGCACGGGAGATTGCGATGAGAGTCTTATTCAAAAAAGTGTAAGCACATCTGAAACTGACTTTTCCACATTGAGCTTAAATAATTATTCATACACCTTTTTATAGTTACTTAATTAACATTCGAGAATCGAAAGTCCCATTGAGTAAATTCCAACAGGCCCTGAAATATGTAGGAAGAGACGTGGAAATGGCAGAAGTAATGTGGTATATGGCTTCAATGATTCAAAAGGTATGATTGTTCATTTTATATTCCTATCGTTGAGTTAAATTTATATAATCACTATATGTCAATTATATTAGGGCTTAATCAGAGGATATTTATCATATTCTAAAGAATTCCTAGTTTTGAGTGAAAAAAATGCCTTTCCCGTCTTTGGTGCTCCAACATTAATATAAAAAAAAAAATGTGGTTTTATTATTTGGTAACGCTTAGGGTATTCTATTTTCAATTAAATTCCTAATTTCTGATTCACATAAATAGATGACAATTAAAATAGAATAAACTATAAGGTAGGTCAGTAAAGGTAGGTATTTTAGAGACAAGATCTCTATTAATAAAATTCCAACAATCAATCAAAATAAAAAGTTTATTATTTCACATTTTAATTGAGAAAATATATAATATTTAAGCGTATTATCATTTTAGAATTTTTCGACTTCAATCATTAATATCATCTAGGCCTTCTAATGCCAAAGCCTGTAATGTCATTGAGTCATATTCGCCTAGCAAATCGGCTAAGAATTAACATAGTCAATTAAAAAAAAAAAAAAAAATTAATAACGACTGTTAAGCTTTAAAATAAAATAATACCATTGACTCTCTTGCAGTAATCGTCTT